CACAAAAGCCTGGGAACATTACAATTGAGTAGAAATACATACATCACACTACAGAAGGCCACTATATTGAATACATGCCATATTGTTAGGAAATTCCTTAATACAGACACTGACACACACATTTAATTTTAGTTTTGTTTTGGTTGCTATGCCTTGACTCTGGTCCGGCATAGTACACAGCCACCGGTTTGTACCGAGTATAACCCACTAAACCCAACACATAATAATAATAATAATAATAAATCTTCCAATGATTATTATTTTGTTAGAATATGCAATGCAATTCCTACTTTTGTATACTATTGCTTCAACAGACATCTGCAACAGATAAATTTAATATAAAACTGCTTAACATTCAATTTGGACATCCAAATTATACAAGATGTCCAAAAAGTTACTGTGCAGTGGAAAAGTTTAAGTAAAGTTTTAATAAAAGTGAAATTTTATATATGATATTGCAGTTTTTCCTATGGCATATGCTGAAATGTATCACAGAGACCCCAAATCAAGACTCGTGAAGTCCAGAGACTTAGTGGACCAGATTCCACAAGAGATTACTTATATCTTCTTTGCCCACTCTCCTGTGAGCAAAGAAGTTTTGCAAAAAAGCATAGTCTGAAAACCAGAATGTCTGTGAGCAAACAGTATTGCCGTCTACCGTAAAGTGGAATTGATGGAAGTATGACTTATGGGTCTTGTGTACAATGCCATATATATTATTTGAACATCATTACAAATTTCTAACTTCACACTAACTTTTCAGACACATTGTATATACTGTATTAGCCCAAATATAACACGATATTTTTCGACCATTTATTTTCTGTTAAAAAATCGACTTGCGCTAAATTCGGGGTTTAAGTAATGGAATGTAATATAAACAAGGACATTTTCCTACAGAGGTTGCCTGTGTTATTAGCNTGTAATTACATAAATAAATGCTTATCTGATTGAATTTTACTTTCTTTGAATTCTTTTATGAGTATTATTTTTTTTCTAAATATCTTTATGAAAATTTTGGAGTTGCGTTAAATTCGGGGTCGCGTTATATTCGGGCTAATACGGTATTTTATAGCTAAAACATATTTATTTAGTAATTTTCATCAGAGCAGAAAAAGCAAAAGTATTCTTGATACTAATTTATCTGAATCTATGCAAAGTTAATGCTTATTCCAGCTGTATGTAATGAAACGAAAGTAGTTTGATATCCAAGATTGAAAATGTTAGAAAACATAGATTTTGGAATGTTTTCTTTTTCCATTCAATTCATTTGTAAGGTAAGTTAAGAAAACAGAACTTTATTTTATTATTCTAATTTTAATGATACTTCAAAAAATGATTATTTTCAGTTTGATTGCTCGAAGATAAGTACAATTATCAAAAGTACTAGCCAGCAGATTTTATTTTTGCATTTTGTAACTCATAATTAAAGACTTATCATCTAAAGATATAAAATTTTTCATCTGTTTTGTTGATTAATTTCGATGTGGTGTCAAGCTGAACTTTTTAAATTATTATTTAACTATTGAGCTAAGTGACTACCCTGATTTGGAAGTTGTCAGTCACTTCTCACTATGCTACTTGGCCATTGGCTTGACTCACTAGGGGCACCCTGTTTCTATCACCTATCCATTGGGCAACTCTGATGAAAGAAGGAAAGTGTTACTGTAGAAATGAGGCCCAGGTCCTTATAGAGGGCCTGAAAGCCTGACTTTGTTTCTTTGCAAGGACATATCATCGTGGTGTGTGGAGAAGAGAATATGGAAAAATCACCCCCAAATAAAAAGATTGGTGGGTTAGATCCAGTTGGATTGTTAGGACAAGGCAGATGGGTAAATGTGGTTAGGGGAAAGGCGGAGATACCGGGAGGTTTTATCAGGGCCTATATTATCTCTCTACGGGGCTGCCATTGGGATATGTTGTCTAAATATTACATTTTCTTTCTCTTCCTTTCCTATCCCCTTGTCTAACCTTCACTTTCTTCCCTTGTAATATTAGTGTTAGAATTAGGCCCAGTGATCTTACATGATTTTGTCAGTCATTAATTATTAGAATACTTTTGATAATTAGCAACAACTTAACCATTAAGCTAATAGGGCTGCAGCCCTAGAGCACTATGTCTAATGGGTGCCAGCAGCTGCCATGTCATAAGGGTCTTTTATGTTTTATTTGATTTTTAACTGATAAAATTATCTTTTACACTTTTATTACATTGTAAGTGAATCAACTTTTTGATTTTATTTTAATTTATATCTATTTATATCAAATACAAAATGAATAATTAATTTTATTTGCTATTACTACTATCATATCCATGAGTAAAAGTGTATAAAAAGTACACTTTAGGATAAAAAATATTTGTTTGATATATGCAGTTATTTATTTTATTATTATTCTAATGACTTCTTATCATTTGATATGTGTATATAGATTTAATTTTTGCAAATAACTGCTATTACATAATAAATACATGTAAAGATAAATTTGCAAAAAAAAAAAAAAAGTGGTTATGAATACCATAAATTAAAGGAAGAAAAGATAATGAAGCAGGACACATTCACAACAAAAGTTCCATTGTTAAAGTTTTTCAAAAAGTGACAATGAACCTAGTATGAGTGTCATTTTGAATCAGGAAAAGAAAAAAGAAAATGAACATACAAAAGGAAAATAGGAAAAAAATAAATTCAAGAAGCCAGTCAGTGTGCGAAGAATTTTGATTTAGAAGACAATGAAAATGTAAACCAAAATATTGATTACTATAATAAGCTGCAAAAAGTTAAAATACAAAAATAAATAAATACACAGCAGTGCCATTGATAATGCGAGATGTTTTATCGCAAACTACGCAACTTATGAGTTTAGAAGCTTAAACAGTGCTATCCACAACTCTGGTATGTTGAGTGTTGGGGAGTTGCATGGCGACATTGATGCAATGAAAAGGAATTTCTGTATGAACAATGTTCTTCAGTCCCACAGCATTTTAGAAGTGAAGTTTGTGACCAAAGAACATCAAATTTATCCCCTATCACTTTTTTAGCTAGTTCTGTTGTACACCCGTTATGTACATGTACAACATCTTAGGTGGAGCATTCTAGCAGTTATCCCAATATATAATAATTTTGATCAAGTTACTGGGTTTTGTAAGGATATAGCATATATTCCAGATTTTTCAAAGAGTTGAAATACAAAAATAAATAATACAGGTGTACATAAAAACTACCTAAAAAAGTGATAGAGGATAAATTTGATCCACTTTGGTCAGAAACTTCACTTCTAAAATGCTGTGGAGACTGAAGAACACTGTTCATATGGGAATCCCTTTTCACTGCATCAATGTCACCATGCAACTCCCCCACACTTGACATACCAGAGCTGTGAATAGCACTGTTTAAGCTTCTAAACTTGAAGTGATTTAAACTGTACTAAAATTTTGCAAATAATAATTAATGTTAACAAAAAATCACCAATTGATATTAATAAATTAGACTTACATGCATCAAAAGTTGCTTATAAAACTCGATTTGAAAAATTCTTCAATGTTTTACCATGTTCTGCTGAATGGTAAAAAACAAAATCAAAATTGGTTATCATACTTGAATTCAACTGGAAAATTGTTTTGTAATCCTTGTAAATTATTTGGTGAATATCCAGTAGTTTCAGTGTGAGATTTAATGATTGGAAACATGCAGACCAAATTACTCCATATGAAAATTCCATCCTTCACAAAGAAAATACCTGAATATTTGTAATTGATTAAATAATAAACAAGAATATTTTCAAAATTATTCTATAATGGAGGCAACAAAAATTATTTACTACTGGAAAAATATATTGCTTAGGATAGGTAAAGTTCTGTTGTTACAATAACAGTTACTCAATTAAGGTACTACTTATTGTGTCAAACTTGTGTCATTTGTGATGAATTTATTAATATTTCAGAAAATTAAGAAAGCAAAAGTGTTTATAATGGTCTTAAGCTTGTATAAAGTCAAAAAATAATCTTGCCATTCATGTGCTTTGTGCAGCACATTCAATAAATTTAACTGGAGAATCAGCAGTGGAAAATTGTTTAGAAGCCACAGAATTATTTCTACTTGTTCAAAATTTGTATAATTTCTTTGCTGCTTCAACAGAAATATGAAAAATACTAAAAAGCCATTTATTGTTGGAATGTGAGGTTTCTAAATTTTTAAGACATGTTGGTCAGCAAATACTAATACCCCATTTGCACCGAGCATTTCAATCTAGATTGTGACCAAGGTCGTTAACTTTGTCGTGGTGTGACCTCTCTCGACCATTTCAATTGCGATTGACTTGAGAGAATTCTTGAAACTACATCCAGTCATAAGAGAGAATCCACAATCCCACGGGTGAGAAAATACAAGATGGCTGCAGAACATGTGTTGGGCTATCGACAGAAATAAAAAATATATTTGGAGAGACGATTACATCTGTCTATTATTAGATATATGGCAAGAAAAAGTATTTATTTCTAACCAAAACTTTCATTTTGTTTGTTGGTGTTCGTGACTTACCGCGTAGTTTTGTCAGTTTTATCATCGTGTATAATAGCCATGTTCTTCTCAAGCGGACTGCCTATGCGAACAGCAAGACGTTCGACTGGTGACAGTCACAATCCAGATTGTAGGTAAATTCAGTTTGAAGTGAGTTGTGGATTGTGTGCAAATGTAGTATAAGATTGTTAATGCAACTATTAGTTACAGATACGAATATTTTAAGAATGCTCTAAAAGAAAAATCTGATAATCCTACACAAAGATCTTCCCTTCCCTTCAAAAAGTTGAAACTGATATCAAATTTACAGCTTTTTTTATATAGTTCTTTAGAAGGATATAAACAAACGTGCAATGTAGATAGCATTACATATTATAAAATTAAAGGAGTTAAATTATCTGGATGCAATGAAAAAAATATTAAAAGAAAAAATAGCTCAAAAGAGAAGAGCAACAGATATAAATTTTGACAAAGTTGAAGAATTTCAGATCAATACTATATTATCATTATTATTAATATGCTCCTAACAGAAACCTAAAAATATGTGCATGTAATGACATCTTTTTGGTATTTGGTATTTTACTTAATTTAAAAAATCAGATGAAGATATGATAAGAGAAAGCTATTATTCTCTATAATACATTTCTTCTCTGTAAATTCAACATTAAAAAAAATTTTGAACTGAAATGCCTTTGAATAAAACACAAAAGTCATCTGTACAAAATTTCATTAATAAGTTACTAAGGAGTTTACCTGTACAACTTATAAAGATAGGCTTTTCATTCCACGGACGAGGAGGTGCTATTCCTCTTTCTTTCATTTTGGCTCGTATTTCTTCTGGCGTTAATTCCTTTTCTCTTCGTAACTCATCATAATCCGGCAATTCTAACTTCAACATCTTCATGTATAGATTTGAAACTTATTAGATCATCAAACAAAATTCACAAATTTAAATAATGAATTTCAGCATACCTTTAGTCCTCTTTCCTTTCTGAATTTCGGATTCCAATGTTTTGAATACAGTGGATAGGAATTAACATGAAAATGTTTCTTTGTAATATTACACAGTGCATCATTCTAAAATTGTTATCAATATATTCAAGATTACTATATATACATATTTATAATAAATATTACAAATATCACAAGTAATAAATATGCCTTTATTATTTAAAACTCATTGAAATTACATAGTTTAATAATTTAGATGCTATTTCATTAATTACTTAATAAAACTGATAGTTAATACAAAAAAATAGCAATTTTTTAAAAATTATTTGATTATATTTGTATTAATTAATTTGCTAAACTTTCTGCATCAAATTAAATTAATTTCACCATCTAAATGAAAATGCCATCATATTAAATTCAGTTTTTCTGATTTAATATGATATTGCACCCAGCTTAAATTTGAAAAATGATATAAGTAAAGGTAATATATTCATACAAAAATGATGTACTTATAATAGACTTGATCAAAAACAATTTTACATCAAAATTCTAGGCAGAGGTGGGAAACCCTTGGCATGTGTGCCAAATATGGCAAGCCAACGACTTTTTTCTGGAATGCAACCCAGAACTCACCTTAAAAAATAAATATCCAACATCTTTGCTGAATTGTATATTTTAACTTAATAGAATAGTTTTATTGAGTAGAGTGATACTAAATAAAAATGCAATAAAGAAACAAACATCCTATTTCCCAGACATCTATATCTGCAATATACTGATTTACAAGTTTTATCCTGTTTAGTTGTCGCGTCATTAGCCAGGCAGCTAGACACTGATTAATTAAGATTATTTTATATATTTTTTTCATTTTTCTTGAAGAATTTATCAAGTGTGTATATGTGGATTTTTGATTATATAAAATATTCCCACAATATTTAAAAGACAACCAAATAATAATATGCTTCTAAAAATTTTGGTTGATGTGTGAGAAAATTTTGCATCATAGATTTGGTAATTTTGGCACACACACTTAAATGGTTGCCCACCTGTTCTAGGGATTCACTGACAATCTGACCAGTTGAAAATGGTGATGGAAATACATTTAGTACTGCACAGGGTGTAAATTATTTACTCTTGCAAATTCTATCAAAACTTATAAAACTAAATTATTGGAAATGGAAAGTAGTTGCAAATGCTGGAGCATAGGTGGGTGGGCAGGTGCAATGAGTAGACTTGCAAAACGATGTCCAAAGAAGCTCAAATGGCCATATATGGGAGTGTTTTTTCTTGTGTTCATGTACAATAGCAAAACTTAGATATGGCAGAAGAGTCACAGGAGTCACATTACTGCTTATAAGATGAGATATTTGAGAGTAGTGTGTGGGATAACAACTACTTTAGGAATAGGAATAAACAAGTGCAAGAAGAGTGGGAGGGGAAAGAGAATGTAGTCAAAAAGGTGGGAAAATCAGTCCTACGATGGTTTGGCCACATTGAGAGAATGAAAGAAGTGCCATTGAAGAGTACACATGGGAAAGGTGGATGGAAAGTGCAGTAGAGGAAGGGTAAGAAAGTCTTAGTTGGAAAAAGTGGGTGAGTATCTGAAAGGACATAAAGGGTTCAGTCAAATAGAATATGAGGAAGTGTGCTAGAAGAGACACAAGTGGGTCAAAAGCAAAGGAAGTGTGTCCGGACAGAAAGGTTTGGAGAAAGTTCCTGAAGAGATAGTTTGCAAGATTAATCAGTTTTGCCTGCTGCTCACCCTTTTTGTTTCATGACTGTGAGGATATGTATGTATGGAAAGTAGGACTATCCTGAATATATGTACAAAGTTTCATAGAAATTGGTTTGGCCATTCTAATGTAATTCGCATGTTTCACAAACTATAGAAGGCACTGCACTTTTACAAAATGGCTACTTTATCTGGGTCGTTTGTAACTAGTCAATGTAAATTAATCATATATTACCGTCCAACATATGCTGCTCAAAGCCATTTATCAAGAAATTTTATAGAACGAGAACAATTATCGTTAGCGCGACAGGTCATTTTATGTAGTATTATCGAAACAAACAAGCGAGTTCATTCTATACATATTTGTGCTCTGCGTTCAAACACCAGCTCTGATATCTGTCCCACACAAAATTACTGGGATTTTAAACTTTAAGGAGAAATCTTATAAAATTGACAACATAACTTGTTTCCGTAAAGATGGATAATCGGGAAAGTTTTTGCCAATTTTTAAGTTGAATCCACTCTCCATCGGTTACACATACGAGTTTCTCCGAATTCCAAATAATCATCTTTTTTTCATGTGGGAATAGATGAAAACTTATATCGGGCATCCACGCGGCTTTGGAATTGCAATTTGTAACGTAACAGAAAGCTTTGCTTTTCCTATTGCTATTCATCTTTCCTGCTGACAATACACAAGAACGATTCAAATGACCCAAATAAAATGGTTTTATTTCTAAACACCAGAGGGTGAGCATCCGGTGAAAAGTGCAAAATATTGATTCCTGTAATTTTAACTAATTGGCATGCTAATATTATTATTTTAATATTCTTACACGTCTCACTTACGTAAATATCATATTAAGGCATTACTAACGTATTAAAGCTTTATTTACTAACTTAATTAGTAAGTAATTCTACAATATGAAATTATATTCGACATACGACCTCACATACGAACTATACTTGTTAAACTATAAGCATATATGTATATATTTTGTTAAGTTATTATCAAAATATTTTAACTTTCATGCTACGTTTGAAATAAAAGAAAACAATTAAACGAAATATAAGCTTTTATACATCATCGATACTCCATTAATTACGATTTCATCTTACCACATCTATAATATTACTACAAGCACGTGAAACACGAGAAATACAAACATTTCCGATCAAGAAACACGCACGCGACATTTTGAAAGTGGTTTCTAAAATAACACATCAAACTTCACATTATTGGTGGAAACGGAGAAACATTAATTTCATCGGCCAATCAGAATAACTTTAACAATGGTAAAAAATAAGGATTTTCACTAAGCGAACCTAACGTCGAAATTTAAAAGTTAAATAAATCGAAGTCGTATGGTAAAATTATTAACTTATTAATATATTTTCACGATATAAAAATATAAATAAATTAAAATAATAATTTTTCTCTATTAAATAATACAAGTAAATCCTCGTCTAACCTTTACACGTTGTTTGTTGCTTCGAGGAAGAATTTGGGAAAAAGAGTTTTTGGAAGATTTTTGTGGCGTAAGTTTTGTATATTTTTAAAGTAGAAAATAACATTTTATTAATTAGAAAAGGTTAAGGAAGGGCTTTTGAAATCCATTTAAATTCATTATGACGTATAATTAACGCGTTTAAGATCAAAGTATCATTCTTTGTTAGGCCTAACTCAAAAGATGGCGAAAGGCAGAAGTTAAAAAAGCAAAACAAGAAAAAAAAATTCGATTTTATTTCTTAATGACATTAAATCGATCATTTTCGTGTCGTAATTAAGTTATAATTTATTTCCGGATTTATAAAATTAAAGCAAAAATCAATATCGATGTGTTGCAAAAAAAAACGGGAAAACACTTCACAGATGGAGTGTATTGTGAAATTTTCCCCCGTAAAATATCAAAATAAGCCATTAAACACGAATAATTAACAATTTCTCACCAGTCTTACAGTCCTTATCATCATTTATTGTCAATTATTAACAAAAGGTACCAAAGGTATATACAAGATGGTTTTTTTTTGTTAATTGTGCTGATAAAATCCAAAATTTCGATTGTTTCGAAGGTTTAAAACGTTATTTTATATTAAATATTTACTTCTATAAATAACTTATGATATGATGCCAAGCAGCCAATACTCCCATGCTATTGCACAATAGATAATGTAATTGCCAGTTGTGAAATTGGCAAGAAATACTGGCTCACGGCTTTGTTGGTTTTATATTTTATTCTGTAAATTAAGCTATGGTAAAGTGTTAACCGGTAACCTGTTTGTTAATCTCCGTACGATAAAGTCGCAAGAAGAAGAGTTTACGGAAGTACTTTAAAGTCTTGCTAATAATAGAATAAAGGTAAATTACCTAGAAAAATTTAAGTTTTGTTACAATTAGGTAACATAAATTTATAAAGGTAATAGAGAAAAGGAGATTTGTTTGTGAAATTATCTTTGTTAATATAGAATTATGTATTTCATTTTAATATACTGTATGTGTGTATATATTGAAAAAAATAGGTGTATAAGATAATGACTAATTTGTTAATTTTGTAGAGATGATTTTTAATTTTACAGTTTCTCTTTGTGGATTCTAACCTATGGCCCGGAGCATATTTATCTGGGCTGCGTGGCTTGTTTTATTGTTGACGTTTGAACTGGTTGGAAGCGCAATAATTTTTCAAAAAGTGAACTAGAATTAATAAACCTTGCCGTAAATGATTTTTATAAAAACCTGTTTAAAGTAGAGAGTTTGTTAAATTTTTACAAGTCTCTGCTGGAAGAGAATTTTAAAAGTTCTAAGAAGTTTGCTTGGGAAATATTTTCTATTGTTGCTTCTTTGTACCTTTGCAAATAAATCTTTTCAAAAATGAAATATGTAAAATTAAAATATCAAACCTCGCCGTCCAATGAGTATCTAAAGGTGATTTTAATACTGAATGCCACAAAATCTATCCCACATTTGATATCAGACATTCTTTTGAAAAAATAGTTGCAAATTTCACATTGATTTACAGTATGTTGATTATTATTCATAAAATAAAATTTAATGTTAATCTTTGACGATATCATTTGTGGCTGGCCCCCAGACTTGGCTTCTACGGCTTGCCTAACCCTTCTTGGAGAAAGGTTGGAGATCCCTGGTCTAAGAAATAAACTGTCGAGTTGTAATGGTACTAGTTTTTTGGAAATATAACAGTAAAAGAAATTGGTTTTTAGTATTATTAACATTATCACTGTATTAATATTTTCTTTCTGTGTATCATTGAGTTTTTTTTTTTAATGTCTTTATGCTTAAACAAAATGGAGACTTAAGTGTAGTGAATTGTTTTTCCTTCTGGTACAGTCAATAGGAACATCATTTAAAATATAGAATGTCATTATAAGTAAAGAACAACAAAAATTAGAACAAAAAGATATTTTGTTGTAATTTTTGGTCAAAATTGTTAGTGTATGTTAAATTAAACAGCTGGAAATTTGGTGTTAATTTATTTTGATTCTGAAGTATTAAAGAAATAACAGTTTTAATTATTGTTATGATATTTATTTGTTTTTTTAGGTTTTATATAAAATAAGCTAAATACTGATTATCTTTTGTTATATATTCCTTTGGAAGTATTAAAGAATTCTAAATTCAAAATGTGAAGTGTTTGACTTACAGTTATATTTTTTTATTGTATTATTATGATCCTTTGTTAGTAGAATAATTATGAATCATTCATATGACCAAAAAGTGCAAATAATTTAATTTCTACTAGTTAGCTATAATAATAATAATTGCTATGCCTTGACTCTGATTTGGCATAGTACAGAGCCACTGGTATCAACTGAGTATAACCCACTAAATACTGTATAATAATAATAATAATAATAATAATCAAAAATACAGCTGTTGACTAGTTGGAAAAATGGAAATAGCATAGTGAATTTGAAGTGTTATTACAAAACTTTATGAATTTTTGACTTATATAAAATCATATTAAAGAAAAATTCTCACATTGAAAAAGTCAAAGTATATTAGCTTCTATTTAAATGCTTACACAACTACATTTTATTTTGACTTTTAAGATTTATGTTCTAATGATGAAATATGTAGTTCTAAACAATTTTTTATGAAAATAATTATATAAAACGTGAATTATTCAGATAAAAATTGAGTATTCTTTATTAAGAAATTGAACTTTGAAATATACATGAACTATAATTACATAAGACTAGATTTATTTGCATTTGTAATTATTTGATGATTATTATTATTTAGTCTTTTAAAGGCTCATTTAAATTTGTATATTAGTTTACTTTTATGTTAGTATATGTTGTAATTACTCAATTACCCAATGTATATATCTTAATAGATAATTATTTATTGTAATCTTGAGTAAATATTTATCTGTTAAAATGTTTAAAATTTTATAAATTTAGTATAAATTGTAATATCAGTTATTAATAATATGTAGTAATTAAATTTTTACATATTAAAAGTAGAAAAATGGTATTTTTTTTTTTATTATAGAATACATTCCCTTTATAAATTTGCCAGTTATAGAATGTAGTGTAGTTAATTTATAAATCATGCTGTATTAACTTGTGACATCCATTTTGTAGCCAATGAATATTTATCTACTCACAATTGCTTCTGAATTTAAAATGATATTTTCTTATTCTTAATGAATTTTAATTAAAATCTATCCACATATACTATAATCACACATATCTTTCTAGGATTGCATAACCTATTTAAATTACAAGTACAGATCTTGATTTTAAATTATTAATTATTATTATTATTTAACACTAAAATGACTTGAAATTAAACGTTGCATTTACTATAATTGATTCACAGTAATTTTTGATGTAGACTGTAATTATAGCTCCTTTTAATGAATTTATCAAATATTATATGGCATAAGATGAAAGGGTGATATGGGGATAATTTATTGTTTAATAACAGAAAATGTAAGTATTGTTTATTTAATAAGAGAATATTTTCATCTCTGAAAGAAAATTAAAATTCATGAGACAGGAATTTAAAGGTCAATGGCTAAAATAGTCATTGACCTTTAAAATATGTGCTTTAAAAATGTAGACATACCTTGCTCCCAAGTTTTGGTATGCTTATAATAAATCATTTATATACTTATTTAATTGACTTTAATATAAGTATATATATTTCATCTATAATTCTTGTATTTTTATTCAGACAATAGTTAACATTCATTTGAAACTTATAATATAGATAGTAGATAAAAAATGATTAGAATGGACATTTTGAAAAATGAAATAATCAAAATTTACATTTAGAATATGTATGGTAGTTAGAAACCCATTTTAAATTTTATGATTATTTTTATCTTCTTTTAAAATCTAGATATAATAATGGACATAAATTTTATGATGTTTTTCAGAAAGACTGTAAAATTTGGCATCTTTTTTATTATAGAATACTTTACTATTGTTTATTATTTTACATAACAACATGATAACTATGCTAGAAATGAGTTACAATAAATTCAAAAAAATCGTTGTTTATCCTAATATGGTAAGATTGTGCATGATATATATTTACTTTTTCAGACATTTAATATCTATATTAGCTTTTTTTCCAGTATACAGGGTACCCACCTGTCTTTGATATACAAGGGAGATATTCCCCCTTTAGCACAATTAGCAGTGGGGATTTAAAAAGTCGGGAAATGTTCAGTTATGTGCACTAAAAACCTCAACTACTACTGATCTTTTGTTGTAGGTCTCCAGAAGGATGATGTAGCTGTCTCATTGGATATGCACATTGTAGTGCAATGTGCATATTCAATGAGGCAACTATGTGATCCGTCTATAACACTACAAAAAAAGAACAAACATAATTGACGCTTCATGTGTTTGAAATAGTCGTCATAACATAACTATGTGTATTCAGACGATTGCTTTTTATGATTCTTATTTCTGTATTTTCTATTCTTTACTTGAATTTCATTGAAAGAAACATCTTTTTAAAATTACATTGAAACAAGCTAATTTGGACAAATCGAAACAAGTTAAACTAGAGCATCCCTTGATTTTGACAATGATCATATTAAAATAACTATTTTTGAATAAAATAACAATCAAATCAATTAATTAAAACTTATTGTGAATACTATCTACATAAGATTGAAATGAAATAAACTACAATAAAATGAAGATTATAAGATGACTAATTTGACAAAAACTGTTTTCAAAAATAACAAAATGTGTAATGTGGTATAACATGGTTTGAATTGAATGAAAAAATTAATAAGCATATGAAATAATTGTTTAATTTTTCCACTTTTAGAGCAATATGTAATAATTATAGAAACATTAGCTCACAGTTTCAATTCATATTTTGCAGAAGAAATTACCAGATTCTTAGTCCCAAAGTTTTGAACAGTGAGGTGTATCTACATCGGAGCAATCTCACTGATTATATAATAGTGATTTTAATTAATAACTAAGCAGAAGTGCCGTTTTAATAATTTTAAATTGCACCATTAGATTCTTTGTGAAACATTTCATCTATTAGACCCCTTTTTTTGTTCTGTAGACAGTTCCCTTTTAATTTCTATAGCAGCTAGACAGATACACACATTCAGAAATATATATATATATGTATAAATAGATAAACTTAGACTGTTTAAAAATAAAATATTTTTTCATTTTCAGCAATTGTAATCATCATCTATTAATCTAAAATCTACAAAAGATTATTTTTAAAATAAAAGAATTTAAACAATTCTGCATCATCCATATTATATTCTACATTGATTTTCTTAAAAATGTTTTTCAAATAGCCAGTTTTTGAATCTATTAATGTTCAAAAATAAATTTTTGTCATCACTCATATTATTTATGGATTCTCTATATAATCAGGCATCTCAGTTTGGAATATCAATCTCTTATTATTATGATTTATTAAAATGAGGACTTATGCTTAACTATAAAGCTATACACTTAAAAGTAACTCGTATGAGAAATTGCATGAGTAAATGATAACTTGTATGAGATTTTACATGAGTAGAGTGTTTTTATACTAGTTACTCATAAGTTTAAACCTAGCTTAATGTTTCATAAACATTATGGTTGTGTGTACTGTATATACATATTAAATATGATTGAAATTTGATTGTCTTGTTTGTTCCTTTAAAACTGACTTTTAGACTGTACTTTTGACCATTAATATATTTAATCATTATATTCTTGTGTATATAAAAGGAAAAATGGGCAAGAATGCTTTGTTTCATGAAGATAGAAAATTAATTTGAGAACTGATATTACTGATTAACAGTTAATTAAAATTAGTTTGATTAGTGTCTGAAAAAGTAATTTTCTTATCCTGTTTTT